GAATTACACATCATTTGACATCTTCCTAAAAAGATGGGTCAAAGAGTTACAGCCTGTAGGTCAAAATTACTGTGTGGTGTGCAATGGTGCACATTAATTCTGGTGATTAGACTTGACACTCAGAAAACTCATCTGGATTTAAAATCTACTAATTATCCTATATAAGTTCCATACTGAATACCAGTAAGTAGCAACCTACTTGACTGAAATTCTAATCCACACAAAACACAATTTAATCGATTTGGAGAAATTTTACAAATGTGAAGCCTTAACTGCAGCTCTCCTGCTCTCATTGCAGTATTCTTGTTTGTGCAGTGGAGGTGATAATGTGGATTTATTTAGCTATCCCAGCAGGGATGTTTTGAGATGTATTTAGTTCGTATCAGAAAGCAATGTCTTACTAAATATTATTAATTACAATTCTTACTGACATTTTACAAATAGAATTTGAACATTTAAAATCATTCGAGAACCGAAATTTATAGCCCGTGTCTATATAAGTACATTAAACAGTGCTCATGCACTGGAATATGATCAACTGTACTGCTAAATTGTTACAGGATGCTTGGCACTCTCCTAAATAATTATTGGCATGGCTCAGCAGTTAGCACGAGCCAACAGCTCTTCCCTGTTGGCAGCACACGTGTCCTGCCTTGGTTTGGAGGCCACAGAATGTCATGGTATGAATGGAGACCATTCCATGCCAGATGGCATCAGGACCTGGAAACATTCCAACTGGCTTTTATGACAAGGGGACATTCTTTGATGACTATAACCTATTAGAGAGGGAAGGAATCCACCTGTCGAGAAGAGGCAAGGGAATCTTTGGCAGCAGGCTGGCCAACTTGGTGAGATGGGCTTTAAACTGAAGGACTCGGGGGCAGGGTCCAAAGTGGCAATGTTCATGCCATCGCATCCAACTGGGGAATAAGCCAGGCCAACCAGAACAATGACAAATGTTCCTTTTCTGCCTCCCAAGATGAGAACCAGAAGGTCAGTCACCTCAAGGGTGTGTATGGCGATGGTATCCATGCTCAATTACCTCTCTGAAATGCCTGTACACCAACGCATGCAGCATGGGGTATAAACAGGAAGAATTAGATATCTGTGTGTGGTCGCAGGGCCAGGATCTCATTGCAATTACAGAGACATGGTGGAACAGCTTGCATGACTGGAATGCTGTCATGGATGGCTACGTACTTTTTAGGAAGGCCAGGTGAGCAAGGCGAGGTGGTGGAGTTGCTCTCTATGTAAGGCAGCAACTGGAATGTATCAAGCTCTGCCTGGGGGCAGATGAAGAATGAGTCGAGAGCTTATGGGTAAGAATTAAGAGGCAGGCTAAGATGGCTGACACCGTTGTGGGTGTTTACTACATGCCACCTCATCAAGATGAG